AGGAGCAGATTACCATTTGCATACCTTCTCGCGTTTCAGTGAACGTGATAAGAAGTCTCCAAACTACCAATTTTACGAAAAAGCTATGGTGGTCAGTGCGATATTCAGAAACGTATAGATCTGTATCAGGATTGCAGAAACGACTAGGACTGTGGATGCAAAAGATCAAAATTTCGCGTCAGCATCACAGCCTAAGCACAGTACCATGCATATACCTCTTCGCGCTTCTGTGATCTTGATAGCAACTCGTCGTCCGCCAATTTTACGAGCAAAGTCTGACCGACACTGCAATTTTCAAAGACATAGATCTGTATCGGGGTCGCAGAAACCGCAAGAAGCGTCGATGCTACGGATTTGAATTTTTTTCTTATCCGATAGCAGTGTTTTATTTGTCGAATAAGACTTGGGTTTTGAAATCCATACATGTTTTCCGTATTAACTTTGAAATTAAAAGTTTGACCGAAAGTTATCGTTCCTCGATCTCACTAATTTTGTTTTCAGAGTTAAATAGAAAAACATTTTTAGGCTGAGACACCAAAATCCACATAGAATAAAAATGAATCTGGCAACTATATTAGCGATTCCAGAGGACGTGGAACAGAGATATCGGAAATGGCTATAAGCTAATAAAAGATAGACAATATACGGTGCATGTAGACAAAATTGAAAAAATATTCTTGAAATAGTCTCTGAAATGCCGATATTGAGAATTAGTAAACTTTTTTCAATTTTCTTGTGTAGGATTCTCATTATTTTGATGAATCATCTACTTCACTGATATCATTAATTTGACTTGGGTTTAGCGCACCGTGCGGAATGGGCAGGTCAAGACATAATAGGATGCTTAGTTTCAAAACAGAATCCTACTTTCGAAAATCATTTTTTTTCTAATCTCAAACAGGTCACAGGACCCTCTATTGAAGCTGCTTCGTAGGATAATTAAATTCAACATTATTCTGCAAAAAATCATCGAGATTTTTTGGAAGACCTTGTACCTACATGTCTGTAACTAAGCTCAGTCTTGCAAGCAATTACATAGCAAAAACAAGCAGCTAATAAAACTTTCGGGTCTTCTAGTCTGTCACAGTCGTTACATACCAACGGCCGATTTTATCTACCGGAAGTCTGTTGTCTCTTATCCCCTTTCGTTTGGCAATCGACCGGCAGCCCGAAAATACGTCACTTTACGTGCGGAATTTTTCTGGATTTCCTCATTTCCGTCAATCATTATTCGCCGCATCGAATCGGACGACGCGTTTCCTTTCCATGGATAAACGACGGTTCTTGTTTGTTGGTGCAACAGTGAATGCCGGATTAAGCCAGCGCGGGGCCTGTAGCAAATTATATCAAGAGACCAAAGGGCGATTTTTTTCTTTTGCGCAAAGTCCAATATTCTATCAAACGGCATATTAGTCCAGGACTATTAGACTTTCTTTGCTGCAAAAATCCCACCTGGATAAATTTTTTACCAGAGCTTCTTTCCAGCATTATAAATCATCCATCAAAAGTCCCCATGAATCCAAGTGGAGCTTTCCTTATGGGGGGGTCAAAGGTCACAAAAACACTTTTTTCCATATATCTTCGAAAATATCAATTCTACGAGAAAATGAGCTTTACCTTTCTCGCTCAGTCTGAAATTCTCCACAAAAAAGGTTCTATGCATTTTTTTTCAAAGAAAATTTACTTTCAATGTTGAACACGAGGAAATTGTACGATACCGTACTTTTTTCCACGTCACCATAGAAGTAAAGTAGCAGGCGCGTTTTTTTCCATGTGGGCCCTCCAATAGGCCTAGTCCACGAAGATGAACGAATGAGAAAATGATGTTATTGTTGCTTTTTTTCTTAGTCATCATTGTGACATGATGCGGCATCATCTAAGTCTTCGAAAACCTCAAGTGTTAAGCATAGGAAATTCATGGGGACTCCTCATTGTTCGAGGTCATATTGAGACATGACTGTCCATGACAAAAGATACAAAAGAATGTGTTTAATAAGACGTTAGGAGCAGGTGGCAATAAAGTTTGTATGGGCTGTAAATAAGCATCCCCAATCCAATGGATTCAAATTCTTTCCATGCCATTTCTTGACTTGATAATACACAAGACATTCGATGTTGGTGGCAGCATTGAAAGCTTAACAGCTTTATCATACCTTATCGATTTCGCGAAGCAGTGATATCGATGATGGTCAAGAGATTCTTCGCGCGGTGGAGCACCATATATAGCTAATAATGATTTGATACCATTTGTAAAAATAGTATCTGGAGGACATCCTTCCTCATTGAATTCTTTTGCTGAATCTCTGATTTCAGCTGACTTTTAAAAAAAAATCCGCATTTACTGCAGCTAAATCCTCTTCATAAATAATGCGATTTTCAACTACTCTACCAAGATAATCATTACTCTTTTGATTTATAGCAAGCACAGTCGATTTAAATATGATATCGAGACTTCCTTAACGAAACCCGGGAACTTTTTTCTCATGTTTTTCGTAATGTGCCATTCCGCAAAATAAACATTTTTTGTCAAATTCAAATTGCTCGCTCGCGGTAGAACGCAGTCTTCGCCGAGGAGGGCTAGATGCCGCAAAAATGTAATTTTTCCATCATTTCGCTAAATACTGGCGTCGCGTACGGTTTTAATACCCCGCTCGACGCAAACAGCGATTTGTCGCAAAAGATGCAATTTTCGGCAATTTTTCAATTTATATATGAATGATATTACGTGAAAACTGTCTGAAATTATCCGAAGCGTCTGTATACAAATAGTAGAATACTGGTCTGAAGACTGGTCAAATGACGTCAATGCCCCACAGTCAGGTATACAGTGACGTACATTCTAACAAAGAAATAAAGAGTCAGCTGTGCTCTAAAAACATTCAAAAATAAAACGATTTCAAAATACGGTTGGACGTGAAATTTTTGATTCAATTACAACACCTTCACGCAATTTTCTGTAAATTGGGGGCCTCTACGAAAAAAATGCATTGAACTATTTTTGTGGAGAAGTTCATACTGAACAAAAAAAGTAATAACTCATTTTATCGAATAGAGTTGATATTTTCCAAGATATATGGAAAATAGTGTTTTTTGTGTCCTTTGACATCCCATAAGAAAAGCTAAACTTGGATTCATGGGGACTTTTGAGGAATGATTTATAATGTTTAAACGAAGCTCTGGTAAAAAATTCAGCCAGGTGGGATTTTTTCAGTAGATTGACCTTCTTTTCGTCTAATAGTCCTGGACTATATTCATCGCACTGTGGGTGTTATAGTCTGGGGGCCACGGCAGCAGGTCACGATTAGTGACTGCCCAGCGCTATATCGACGAAGTTTTACAACCATATCTGCTTCCCTTTTTGGAAACATTGCAAGATCCACCTTTTCAGCAGGACAATGCACGACCTCACGTCTCACGTGTTAGTTTACTCGTTTTATAAGCGTTCGGGTAACTCTGCTCCAGTCGCCTCCTCGACCTCCAGACCTTTCCTCCATCGAATATATATGGGACATGAAGTATACTCAAAATTACAGCAGTCCCAGTCGGTGTTGCATTTTCTATGTCATTTAGTATATTTATAGGTTTGAAGTTGTAAGGATCGGTCTTTTTTTGTGATGGGATACGAGGGATGATGAGTTTTGCATATAGAAACATAGTAGGCCGCGCGGATCGAACGTCAGTACTGAATCTTAACCTCACCCTTTAGTAAACTTATATTCAAAGTTTCACAACAATACGTGCAGTGTTCTCACTACAGTGAATTTTTAAGTGTCACCAAGTCATTAGAAAAATGGAACTCAACCGAGAACATTTTCGCGCCATAATTTCTTACAACTTTCAGAGACAATTATCGCAACAAGAATGCGTTGCTGAGTTACTGTCTGTTTTCGGCAACGAAGCGCCACATCAGTCGACAATTTCCCGTTGGTGTGGAGAATTCAAACGTGGACGGGTGAGTCTTAGCGACGATTCCTGGGTGGGTGCACCAAAAACGGCAGTCACCCAGGAAAACGTCGATGCTGTGCGCAAACTCATCATTGAAGATAGACATGTGACATATCGCGAGATTGAGGCGTCCTTGAAGATCCCAAAGACCTCAATTCAAAAAAATTTACATGAGGAATTGGGAGTAAGAAAATTAGTTTCTCGTTGGATACCCCATCTGTTGACTGAACAGCAGAAAGCAGCCAAGGTTAATTGGCGTCAAAAAACGCTTGAGCGTTTCAATTCCGGAAACTCAAAAAATGTGTACAGCATTGTTCGTGGTGATGAATCGTGGATTTACTGTTATGAACCAGAAAATAAACCACAGTCGGCTGTTTGGGTGTTCCAAGGTGAAGAAAAGCCAACAAAAGTCATCCGTTCTTGAAGTGTTTCGAAAAAGATGCAACAATTCCTCTTAATGAGCAAAGAACTGTTACTGCGGATTGGTACACCACCATTTGTTTGCCAAAAGTCATCACCGAGCTTCGAAAAATCAACTCCGAAAGAAGAATCATCCTCCACCAAGACAATGCAAGCTCGCACACAGCCCAAAAAACCAGGCAGCATTTAACGAAAGAAAACGTCGAATTATTGGACCGTCCTCCATATAGTCCCGATCTAAGTCCCAACGATTTCTTTACTTTCCCGAAAATTAAAAACAGAGTGCGTAGTTAAAGGTTCCAGTCACCAGAAGAAGCAGTTGACGCATTCAAAAATGCCGTTTTGGATCTGCCAGCAAACACGTGGAATAAGTGCTTCGAAAATTGGTTCGAGCGCATGTATTAATCTTAATCAGTCCTCGTGGAGAATACTTCGAAAAACAATAAAGTTATTTAAAACTACCTACTGTGTTGTTTTATTTCCATATGCAAAACTTAAAAGACATCCCTCGTAGATATGAACAAATTTACAGTTTTTTGAGAAAGTACCGGATTCGTAATATATCTAGAAAAGACGGGAAGTTTGATTTAGTTCTTTAGATGTATTGGAGATATTAAAAACGCATTTCTTTGCAGGGTTTTGCAGCAGAAACTTCAGCCAATGCAACGGTTTTGACAATCACAGCCTTCACCGTGGAAAGGTAAATATACAAGGTGTTGATAAAGTAGGTTTGAACATGTAACTCACCAAGATACAGGGTGTTGAACATTTCTATTAATTGACGAGGCTTATTAAGGACACGAATGTTTTCCAAATGGAGTGTAATATCAGTCCTCAAACCGAACATCCTGTATTAATGTGTGAAGATAAAGGATGATGTCACATACAAATTAAGCAAAAAAAATCCAAGCTTCATTCGTCATGTGGAATCACTAAACGATCCGACAACAGACGACTCCATGAAATCATCTCCTGGCTGTGGTGAAGGTCCGTGCAAGGTCAGTTTTAGGTGACATTCCGGAGGTTACAGAGTGGGTGAGGCACTTAACTGTCACGATTATAGGTTTAGGGGCTACTGACTCAGTCTGTTGAAGGGCGCTAAAGGTCATCTAAAGGTCGAATAAAAAAATGTCGAGAAAACATGAATCTGAATCTGGTACCAGCTTCTCCGTATCAAGGCATCTAATGGACACTTAGAGGTCATTTGTATATCAAATTTGTCAAATTCAGAAACCAAAATCTACTGTTCCTCCGTGCAAGTAATTTAAAGGGCGTTTAGATGACATGTCAAGGTCAAATTGAGAAAATGTCAGGAAATCAAAATCTACTAGGCCTGTATGTTGATCTTTTGGGCCAAAGCAATGGAAGATCCAAGAGCGGGCTGATATGGGCAAACGGACCCCAGAGTCGAGCTTGATTAATAAGCTTGCATACAATACTGAGTTGCTCCGTCTAAATCTCACCTAAAATTGACATTGAGCTGATCTTCACCCTGGCCAGAAGCAGTGTCTGTTCATACATGAAAAAAATTGTATTGAACCAAAAACAGCCTACTGTCCTCACCATCATTTTTTCATCTTGTTGCAGATACGTGGCCATCTGTCATCCGTTCCTCTCCCACACGCTGAGCAAACTATCGCGGGCCATCCGACATATAGTGGCCATTTGGGTCATGGCCCTTTGCTTGGCCGTACCGCAGGCCATGTCGTTCGGAGTCGTGTGTGAAGTGATCGCTGGCGAAATGCATACTGACCATTGCTTGTGTGTGCCGAAACGGACAGTGTTGCCGCACGCTTTCGAGATATCGACGTTCGTATTTTTCGTGGCGCCTATGTCTATGATCACTGTGCTATACATCCTGATTGGGGTTAGTATAAATTACAATTACAGTCGAAACTAAGGCCGGACTCGGATTGTCTGAGCTGTTTTATCTAAAGCAACAAGCACTCTTTGAGCTATATATTAAAATGTTTGGATATCCAAAAATAGGAAAAGAATGATACTAATCAACTCACGAAATGTGTGTTTTTTTATTTTTTAGTGAAAACAACCTTAATTAGTCAAACAGCTTATATTTCTCTCATATAACATGACATGGCATTCAAACTTTACCAATCTGATTCCTTTGAAATTTAACAAAATAGTGCTAGAAAAATAAACAAAAATGATCTGTATACAGGGTGTTCCTTAATGATATGCGAATATTTAAGTATGTGAATCTACATGGAAAATTAATGTTAGTTTGCTTCATAAACTATGGTCCAAAAATGTTTCGTTATAAAAACTCGGGGTGTAAGTTTTAGGAAAAAAAATGAAAATTAATTAATATTTTCAGAACCGCCTCAGATATTGCACTGATATTTAGTACGTAGTGAAAGTTATTGAAGTTGAATATTTTTAATGCAATCATAATTTTTAGCTTCAACAGTGGCGTGCGTACAGGTATTGACTTTGATATTTTTTTAAGAAAAAATGTTACGCCAATGGTTTTTTGCCAAATAAAAATTATTTTTGAATTTCCCGTTCAATTGAAAACAAACGATCTCTCTTGAATTGCTTTCCTTTGATGCGCCATTTTTGAGTAAAAAAAAAACTAAAAACCGTTCTATTATCTAATTATTATTAATTTAATTGGAAGAATTAAACACATTAGGGGTAATAAACAACAACAACTGACAACATAAACATATCATTAAAACCAACAAAATGATTACAAAAATTGTTGAAAATGGCCCCCTTCACTTAGTATGCATGCTTCCGCCCTCCTTCTCATGGAATTGCGCGCTCGTTGAAATATCCCTTTAGTGTTTTTTATTCTATCACAAGATGCAACTATTCTCTCTCTTAATTCCTCTACAGTGTTAATAGGACTTGTGTACTCTAGTGTCTTAAGATAGCACCGCCAAAAGAAATCTAAACTGTTGAGGTCTGGGCACCTTGGTGGCCATTCTTGAGGCCTACTGCGGCCAATCCAACGATTTGGATAAACAGTTTGTAAATAATACGAACAGCTACACTCAAATGCGCTGGTCACCATCATGCGTGTACCACATATTATTTCTTATTACTAACAGAACATTATTGTTGAAAAAAATTGAGGTAAGTCTGTCCGTCAAGTCGTCCCGACAAGAAGAATGGGCCAATAAAGTGGCTGCCAATAATTCCTGCCCATACGTGAACAGAATCATTGATTCAAGTTGCGGATTTTGTGTAATTTTTTGAAGATACCACTGTCAAAAGGTCATACGCCTTGGAAAATCAATGGGAAGTAATGCCTGTACTCTTAAAATATGGTAAGGATATAACAAAAAAAAGATAATGGCGTAGAAAGTTTTGAGCTTTGTGGGACAAACTGATAGGATAAATAAAAAAATTCGTCCGCAAAACAAATCCAATTAATAAAGTCTATTTTTTCACTTTTTTGTACATAAATCGAATCCGGCTCTGGTTTCCTTAATCGTCCGATACATTCAGGTTACTCCTAGGTATCTTTATTATTGTGAAAACCTCATCAAAATAATGGTCGAATGAATTATTTCTGACAGTGTGTCCACTGTAACCATAGCAATCAAGTAGCTGACATGATGGGTTTTTGCAACCATGTCTACAATGTAGCGTTCGGATTTTCGTTGAACATACTGTATAGGAGTGAAATAAACCTTGATATACGTGCCAGTTAACACACATATTAGCAACACAGTAAATAAAATTTCATTAATTGGATCAACATTTTTATGGTCCTTTTAGGGACTATATAAACGTTGTACATCCAACACAAGCATCAAGCGAATCGTTATTTTTATTATTATCTTTATTACTAGTATACTATTAGTGAACTCGTAATGACCATTTTCAAAACGCGTGCGCTAGACCTCTTCCCCTTGTACAACATTTGTAGGAGATATCAGAAGAAGAAAAAGAAATAAACAAGCAATATATCTCTTATAATTGTCTTGTGTCAAGTGGGCTCATCGCATATGCCTATTTGTTATCGAGGGAAATGTTTTGTAATTTGATGTCTTTTCTGCTAGAGACCACGTTTCGCTCACTCTCCCGAATTCTTGAGTGAATTATAGCTTCATCTCTATGCGAAAATATTGTTCCCTAAATAGTTTGCTGGAAGCTTGAAGTAACTTTTTCTTTATAATATACTATAAGTTTATTTCAATCCTAATATTTCGGGTACGCTGCAATTTATTTTTTTTGAACCTGAATTTGGTCATAATTTCTAAAGTCGCCTGATATTTGGAACAAATGGGATTATTTTTTATATTAGACTATATTGAAATGTTTGTAAAATCGATAAGATGAAACTTGAAGGACTTATCTCTAAATTTGAAGAAAGATAACCACCTTGTTTTTCAAATTGATATGAAAATCTGAAAATCATTATAGAAACATCTGAAAAATTGGCAGTATGAAACTTAGGCTACACAATTTCAAAGAAACTTTTTGAAATACTTGGTGTTAAAACTAACAAGGTTGTAGACAACACATGAAAATTGCCCCCAAAGGTATCCAAATCTGGATCGATTCAAATTGAAAGGTATTGGGTAATAAATGCATTTAATAAAGAAACGATGGTATGTATATTGTTATATTCTAAATAATAGTGATTTTTGATAGACTTGTGGCACGTGAAATATTTGAATTTCTTTTTGTTTTTTTTTTGACTAGCTAATGAGAATTTCACAATTAAAAAAGAACACTGTATATCATTACTATCTTGCGTTTATTTATGATTTATTGAGGAATTCATGATTTTTTTGTAAAATCAGAACAACCGCATTTTCACCGATTTTCTACAATTTTTGACACTTTAAACGTAAGATGCCATAAGTTATCTCAATCAGAAGCTCAACGCATATTTCTGTCTATCCTTTTAGGTTCCATAATCAAAATTGTGACTTGTTTCCCGAAAAATTGCGAAAATAGGAGAAATTTTCTGTTTTGACGTTTTTGATCAAGGAATACTTGTTTGAAACAGAAATCCACAGTGTATAAGTATCTTTAATGCCCTCTTAATTTTTGTTGTCAAAATGATGATTTCTTGTTCGGAACGATACAACTCTAATGGGCACATAGGTAACGTGTGACGAGAGACACCTGTAAATTGTAGTCACTTGTCCTCCTACGTATGGAAAGAAATTCTATCTGTTCCACGTGCTGAGAGGAGGACAAGACAGCGTTCCACTTTTTAGGCTTTTGCCCTGTACATTCCAATCTAAGGGTAGATACATTCGGAAACATGTGGCAAAAAGGACCAAAGTTGTCATACTTTCCAATCTTTGCCTTCCCACCACCACCACTGCTACTAGGTATGATCATTGTCTTATCTTTTTCTAGATACAACTTCACAGATCAGTCACTACGAGGAATGGAAGCATAAAAATGAACCATCGCATCTACAAGCCAGCTTCAACGTCCATAGCAATCCCCGATGAATTGAACGGAGTTCCAGAGAAGACAGATATCATCAGTTTGAAGTTAGAAGATGAAGAGGATAGGAAGAATATCAGCAGGAACTCGCAGGCTAACAGGCATGTTGTCAAGATGTTAGGTGAGTTTACTGATTGAAACTGATTGGCTTTTATCATGCCAATATTGGTATAGCCAACAATTCATTTCTAATTCTATTTACCTGTATTTCGTTTGCTTTTTATTTTGACGCTACTTACTACGGGCTGCTCAACCTCTATTTATTTATTTATTTATTTCCAACAGGTGAAACCCAATTTCAGGAAACGCTGAAAAAAATAACAATTAAAGAGACATGGTTCTTGGACTTAAATCTATAGTATCACACATTCTAAATAAGACTGGATGATCTATAGCAGTTAATAATCGATGCACAACTGTCACTGTAAATATCACACGATTCAGTAACACTGTTCATGACGCAGCACATGAGATTAATTGGCGATTTTGTCATAACATTTGTACGGCCAGTTTGACAATAGAATGCCGTTTGTTGTCGACACCCTAGCCGCGGAAACATTTCAAGTAAATTTTGACAGTCAATTTTATTGTGAATGAGGCCATACAAAAACGACAAAGCAAATATGTTTCGTCTTGTTGACAGTGAATCCAAATTGAAAAACTCTAATGGTCACAACCTCTTTCTGGATAAGAACATGTGCATTTAAGATGAAAATACTTTAAAGCTTTACGTTGAATGGCCTCAAGCAGCACGACAGAATTTTGGTATATAGGAGACCAGATCAGAGTTGCATACTCCAACTTGCTCCTGACAAAAGTAAAAAATAGTCATTAATGTATCAACATTGGAGAAACCCTTCCAGTTTCTGATACAGAAACCAAGTAGTCGAGTGGCAGCCGACGAGATATAGAGTATATGCTCAGTAAACGTTAGCTTGGTATCAAAAATGACTCCAAGGTCTCTATAACAGGTGCATCTGTCTATAACCTGACCATTGATGTTATAGTTATCATAAATTAAATAGTTAACTTTTCTTGTATAAGTCATAACTTTACATTTCGAAACATTCAGACTGAGACAGTTTCGTGAACACCATGACGAAATCAGAGCTAAGTCATCTTGACGCAATCCTCGACTGTCTTGACTGACGTGCAGATTTTAAGGTCATCAGCGAAAAACAAATGGAAACACTTCAGTTCAAAAGACAAGTCATTAATAGATATTAAAAACAATAATGGACCTAGATTTGACCCTTGAGGTACCCCAGACGTGGCCCGATAGTAACTCGACCTATGACCACCATATTCGACAAATAACCTTCTATCCCTCAAATATGAATTCATGAGTGACAGCATTGCATCAGACATACCCACTGTTTTAAGCTTATCCAGAAGTGCATAATGATCAACTTGATCAAACGCCTTCTGAATATCTGTGTAGATGACATCAGCTTGTCCCTGACCGTCCAGTACTTCAGAAATGTACTGAGTAATTAGAGCCAAGTTGGTGACCGTAGATCTGCCTCTCATAAACCGTTTCATAAGCAATGATCTCAAACAACTTGCTGAAATTGCACAGGATTGCTATTTGGCGATTTTGTGAATAGGACATATTTTAGAGGTCTTCCAGATATCCAGATATTTGGATATGTCTCTGATTTTAGAATTAGGTTGAATATGGAAGCCAGCGGGTTCGCTAGTATATGAATGCAATCTTTAACGAAAAAACTTGGAATACCATCACATCCAGACGTCATTTTGTTCTTTAATCTTTCCGAAGCCCTAATTACGTTTTCTTCACTTATATTTTTTAAAGAAATGATATCGGTAGACTTATTTGTTGGAGATGACCCTAGTAGCCCAGACGGGATAAAAACTGTTGAAAAGAAGGTAGCAAAACTGTCCACTATTTCCTGAGGCGTATCGCAGACATTGCCGTTAAGCGTCATCCTTGGGGGGATTCTAGATTGCTGTTTTTTGATCTGGGAAAATGACCAAAATTTGCTAGGATCATTGACAATGGCTTCCTCAACCGATTGGACGTAAGCGGAGTAGGCAACACTGATCTGGTTCTTAATTAGCTTCCTAAAATTACTGACCTGATCATAAGAAAACTTAGTACCGTCACGTTTCCAGTTCCTTCTTGCTATGTCCTTCTTCTTGATATTAAGTATAATTTCACGTGTGAACCATGGGGGATACGAACATTTTATTTTTACATTTAGGGACATGGACCTCAAAGATGTTATTGATAACTGAATACAAGGCGGTACAAGCGACGTACTGTTAGACATGAAAGTGAGTCGTCATTAAAAAAACATCTATAGATTTTAAAACTAGTAATAACTATAGATTTCGTTTGTTCTACCACAGACGGCCAATCACGGACAGCTGTTTCATGCTATTTTGCAACTCTTCAGCATTGCACAGGCTTGGGCTCAGGTAGGACAACGAACTAAAGCTTAGCAACTATCCTCTATCCAGAGTGTAAGGTCGATAACCGCGAAGGTGAAATCAAAATCAGCAAGCTGGCTGTTGGATCCGAGTTCGCATTATGTAATACGTCACTTAAAAGTCAATGATTTCATTGCACTACAAACCTAAGTAAAGTCATTAAAAATAAATATGTCACATTTTGATCTACGTAATACGGATGCCGGGTTGAGGCTCCAAAAAGTTCGTTATCCGCAAAAATGAAACAGTTTGTTCACATTCTTCTGAGTTGGCTTCTTAGCACAGCAGTCGTTTGGATAATTAAGCTGGAGAGTAACTGCTGCACATCATGATGAATTATTCATCCAGCTGTTTATGACTCATGCAGCTGCATATTCTGTTTGTTTTCTAAGCGGGGCTACTTGAATTGCAAATATTTTACATTACTTCTTTAGGCGTATTCATTTAGATGATGTTCAGCATCTCTTTATTCTATCGGTAGCAATATTTCTAGCAGGAGATCTTCGTTATGTCTTCAGAGGTGTTTTGCTAGCTGAAGACTTTGTTAGATAATTGAACCAACCATATGCAAAAATGAATTTAAGAATCTAGTTCGTAAAGAGAGTGGTTCTGGTACTACCTGAATATATTCAAATATTTCAAATATGTAATTCAATAATAACAGCTAATAACTAAAAATGCTTCCCGATCGGGATCCGGATTTACTGCTTGCCTGGCAGATCCCGGCTCGGATGTCGAATTTTTAGTTAGAAGAATTTGAGTTTTTTGAGTATTTATACGAGCCCCTTCCCACTTCTGTTGGCCCAACTATTGAAATCTTAGTTTTTTTCTTATCAAACACAAGTAATAAAAATGTAGCACGGTGTTATAGGTTTAAAATATTAACAATGAATATTTTGATAATATATAGTAGAACACACCAACTTTATCACTCCCTAATCAAATTTGCATCATAAAAATAACACATGTTGCAATTAACGCATATCAACCTATTTTAAAATAAGTCTATAACGCATAGGGGGCTGTGAAAAATAAAAGCTATGACAATTAAAACAATTATTGTTTTTATTAATCACAGCTGTCAGAATACGTTTAAAATAGTTTTGGGTAGTTAAGGTTTTCAAAATGGGTAGAGGAAAGGTTATTAGTGAGAAAATTCGGTTACTGATAATTAATTTTTTCAATTCTGGGAAATCAAACTCAGAAATTGCAACTTTGTTAGACTTATCGCGGTACAGTGTGAGAAATATTGTTAGAAGATATAAAGTAACTGGTTCAGTTAATATTAAGCCACGATATGTGAAAAAAAGTAATATCACAAATGCCGACCGAAAAGCATTAAGAAGAATAATCGTGAAAAACAGGCGTGCCAATTATTTACAATTAAGTGCTCTGTGGAGTGACGCTATTGGAAGGAGAATTTCGAGGTCCACAACTCATAGAGAGGCCCACAAACTGGGATTTAGCACTTGCAAGGTAAGTTTTCTTATAAAAAAAAGTGAAGTAAAAACCCTAAAGTTGCACAACTTGTTTATAGGCCAAAGAAAAGCTACTATTAACTCCACTGCAAAAGATGGACTAAAAGAACATAGACAACAACAATGGTGTGCAATACAATGGAGTGATGAGGCCCGATTCGAAGTTTGTGTTAGTCACAGTAGAGTTATTCGCAAAAAAATGAAGCATTCCATGTTGACTGTCGGAAGAGAAATGTGAAATTTTCAGCATGCATAATGGTCTGGGGCAGTATGTCATCAAAAGGAGAAGGAAAACTTCATTTTATTGATGGAAATGTGGATACAAAACAAATATTTGGCAATTTTAGAAGAATCGCTTTTACCAGTGATGGAAGAATGTTTGACATCCGGCCAAGATTTTGTGTTTCAGCAAGATGGTGCAGTGTGCGATACCTCAAAAAAGGCTATAAAATGGATGGAAGAAAATAATGTAGCACTTTTGAAATGGGTTTCTAGCAGTCCAGATCTGTCACCTATTGAAACTTTGTGGCACGATATGAAAAAGGTTCTACGACAACATCCTGCTCGTACAATCACCGATCTGGGACAAAAGCTTCAAGAAATATGGGGTTGTTTTACACCAAATTTTTGCCAAAACTTGGTTAACACTATGCCCCAAAGAATTTCAGCCGTAATAAAAAATAAAGGTGATGTTACCCAATGGTAATCTTTAAATTGTTGCTTTTGAACAGGTTACAACTTGTACGCACCACCGCTATCGTGCTCGACGCGTAAGCATTGTTTTACTTAGTTTGAACTTGACTACTTGTGATAGCGGTACGGCCTAGCGTGCGTTCATTGTTTACTATTTATTCATTGAGTATTAAGTATAGTACCTAGTAATGTCATCACAAACTTAGCAGGGAAAGCACAAAACATTGACAATTAAAGAAAAATGTGATATTTTAGACCGCTTAAATCGCAATGAAACTTTCAGTAGTTTAGCAAGTGAATACGGCGTAGGCCGATCTACAATTTAAGACATTAAAGGAAACCACAGGAAGATCAAGAAGTTCGTGTCAACTACTGACTGCGGGCCAGGCAAGAGACAGACACTCAAGAAAGCTGAACATCCAGAAGTGGAAGAAGCTTTGTACATGTGGTTTCTTCAGGAAAGAAATAGGCATACACCAATTTCAGGACCTATGTT